TGTCCAAATTCCCAAACTCCCAAATCCCTACTCCTACATCCCTAAATCCCTAAATTACCAAATTCCCAAAATTCCACCTACCCAAATCCCCAAACCCCTAAATCCCACCTATCCAAATCCCCAAACTCTACCTCCACATCCCCAAATCCCAGCCCTACCAAATCCCCAAAATCCTACTTCTCCAAACCTGCAAACTCCTACAAATCCTCAAGTCCCCAACTCCTACCAGTCCCCAAATCCTATTCCCAAACTTCCCAGTCCCAAAATAGCAAATACACAACCCCAAAATATTCAAATTCCCATTTTCCTGTTAATCGTAGACCATAAGCTTCTCCTGACTCCCCGAAGCATAATTCGGCCATTTCACAGACTCTCCGGAGGCCCCAATCTGCCCGGCGTAATATTTGCTCAAGTCGAGCGCTGAGCGATGCGGAGAGTAAGGAAAAATAAGGAGAATATTTGTTTTTGCAGAGCCACAGTTCGCGTTAGGACTTCAGAATGGATCTTGGAGGAAATCGTTCCTGGTCGGCGTACTGGTGCTGGTTCTGCTGATCTCAGCCGGTGCCATTTACGCTCGGTGCTGGCTGCCGTTGGTTCTGCTTTGTCGTGACAAATTCGCCCCTCTCGAGGAGAATGGTAATTATCGCAAAACTCGACCTCGTCTTTTTCTGTCTCACCTTCTAATCTTCTCATAAAACCATTAAGGGGGGCATACCTTTAGACGGATGAAAATAAGCTGATATTTGTGCATTTTTTTGTGTAGGACACCTTTGTTTTGCATTTTCGAAATTTCAGGTATAATTTATTATAACTATTGCGTATTACAGAATATTTTCTGTTTTGCAAAATATTTCAAAATGCCGGAATTATGACAATCCTTTCTGGAAGTATTTTGGCGCGTCTCGCGAATCGTGGGTTCCAGCGGAAGATATATTGGTTTCAGCAAGTTTGCAGACAACGTTTCGAAAACTAACATTCACAGTTAGATGAACCTCAGAAACGTGCAAAATATGTAAAATTGAAGAAATGGCGTTTAAAGAAAAACTTTGAATTTTATTGAAAATTTTTGCAATGTTTCGCAATAAAAAGGACTTTAATGTTCAATTTATTTCATACATTTAGGTTCGTATGTTAGATAGTATTGTCATGGATATGTGGAGAAAATTTGAGCGCGATCGATAAACTAGTTTTTGAGTTATCAGCCACGGCAATTTTAAGAACGTAGTTTTGAGAAAAACGCGTTTAAAGTTTCAGTCCTCCGCACTGAACGCGTGTATACCCGCGGCGCTAATCGGCCATAATTTCAAAAGGGTTTCGTATTTCACTTTAAAAAGTTGAGACAATATTTTTAAGATGTTACACTAACATTTTATAGAATTGAGAAAAACGCGTTTAAAGTTTCAGTCCTCCGCACTGAACGCGTGTATACCCGCGGCGCTAATCGGCCATAATTTCAAAAGGGCTTCGTATTTCGCTTGAAAATTTTCGGACAATATTTTTAAGAAGTTACACTAACATTTTATAGAAAAACAAATTTTGTAATTTTTTAATATTCTAAAGGTATTGCTCCCCTTAAAAACTGTCAGACTAGTATCATACTCCTCTTCTCCAGTTCTTTTTTTCGTCGGTCCTTGAAAACTCTGGAGTCCGGAAACTCTCGAGCTGTTTGTTCCGATCAAGCTTTTAAGAGGTGGAATCACCGCCCGAAATTAACATATCGAATTCGCATTCCACGAGAATTCGATAGCAAAAACTCCTCGAATCGCAGTAATATCACGAACCTTTCAGAGAAACGAGCGCTCGATCGATGCCAGTTTACTTAATCTTCGTTTAATCCGCGATGAAACAGTCCCACGGGCCGTGTTAACGAGTTTCTCCTTTCTTTCCGTCGACGAGTTTAATCTCCTCAGAGTAATTAGAAATCCACGGTGATAACGCGAATTTAAGCTTGCTGCAGTTCGATGGATATTGTAGAATTTAAATATAATTTTGTCCAAAAAAAAATGGTGTATTGGCTGAAAGCTTGCAGTGTATTTTTCAGACACTGTTCATATATTTTGCATGCTGGGGAATTTCAAGGTTAAAGAATTTATCAAATGTCTGCTGTCATTAAATTTAATACCTGTCTCACTTAACACAGTTTCCAATAAAATGTGGTTAAAATAAGTTTGACTATGTGTGACTCAAGGTTAATAACTGCCAGCCTAACTTGACCTAACCTAAACTATCACAAGTGCAAATAAGATGTAGCTGACCTAAGTTTGACTGAAGGTGACTTAAGATCCTTGACTTCCAACTTAACCTAACCTAACCTAAACTATTATAATTGCAAATAAAATGTGGTTAACCTAAGTTTGACTATGTGTGACTCAAGGTTAATAACTGCCAGCCCAACTTAACCTAACCTAAACTATCACAAGTGCAAATAAGATGTAGCTAACCTAAATTTGACTGAAGGTGACTAAGATCCTTGACTTCCAACTTAACCTAACCTAACCTAAACTATCACAATTGCAAATAAAATGTAGCTAACCTAAGTTTGACTGAAGGTGACTAAGATCCTTGACTTCCAACTTAACCTAACTTAACCTAAACTATCACAATTGTAAATAAAATGCGGTTAACCTAAGTTTGACCCAAAGTAACATAAGACCCTGAACAAATTTTCGCTGAGGTTCTTAAAAATAGTGCAAGGGTATCAAACGACAAAAATGAAGCTCCCAGCCGGTCAACAGGTGAACAAAGAGAAAAGTATCTCCATGAAACGTTAATGGGAGACGTCGTCGGGCCGGTGGTTCCAAGAATCCTCGGTAATCGTGGTAATTTTCTAGCTTCCGTATACGGGGCTGGTGCTCGCGGCACTCGATGTAACCCCATCGACGAGATCTCGTCGTTCGCATAGCACGCGGCCTATCCTTCTGTAACAGGCTATGGTTTACACGTGTAACTCGCGTCTACTCGCGATTTATCGACCTCCTTCATTTTTTCCGCCTGCGTAGGGAATTGAAGATACGGAAAGATACCTTTCGCAGGGAGAAGCATCGTTCGAATAATTAGCATATTTCAAGAATTTGTATCCATAACGATTATTGTATATAATGTGAATTGGTAAACAGGGGTTGATTCTCAAGATCGAGTGTACTTATTATTTTTTCTATGATTTTCTCTAAAATTGTTCTCTCGACAATTTATCTGCAAGAATATTTTCTGCCCCTTACCAGTATCGTTAAAAATCCCAAGACGAAGGAAAACATTCCAACATCGTAAACTGAAACAAACGATTAAAAAAGAGATTAATGAGGGTCGCGTTCCCGGAAGAAGCAGCGAAAACATAGATAACGATAGTTTTTCGTTGACAAGGTTCGGCAAATAGTCGCAGCTTCCTATTTACGAAAAGGGAGCGATAAAAATGTGCGGCAGCCTCGTCCCCGAGGTTTCTCTCTGTTTGTAGGCCGCCGGTTTCTACTCGAGAGCGTGTTCGCGATGACTTTTCAGCGAAGCTATCGCGAATTCCACGCCGGGTACGAAGCGAAGTGAAAGTGGCCGATTGTTTGTGGAACGATTCCACGTTGCCTCGAATAAGGGAGAGTCGGTCACGAGTTATGCGAATTCGCGTAAACCATTAGTCCCTTCTCTCGTGTACACGGTGTCGCGAACACGGGGTACCAGGTGCGCCGGTTAATAATTCCAAGGATATATTTCACGAAAGATGTTTAGATGCAGGGATATATTCTTGGTCTGAAGTCTTATGCTATTTTGTTTCGGTTGAATTAAGAATTATTAACCTCTTGCAGTATTTTGACGAGTCTGACTCGTGACGCACTCGTGATAGACCCTCGACGCACTCATGACGCACTTATGACGCCTCCTTGACGCACGGATGACGCACTCTTGGATCAATCGTGACGCACCGATGACGCACTCGGATCACTCATGACGCACCGATGACGCACTCTTGGATCACTCGTGACGCACCGATGACGCACTCTTGGATCACTCGTGACGCACCGATGACGCGCTCTTGGATCATTCGTGACGCACCGATGACGCGCTCTTGGATCACTCGTGACGCACCGATGACGCACTCTTGGATCACTCGTGACGCACCGATGACGCACCAATTATAAATTCGTGACGCACCCTTGACGCACCAATTACGAATTCGTGACGCACCCTTGACGCGCCAATTATAAATTCGTGACGCACCCTTGACGCACCAATTATAAATTCGTGACACACTCTTGACGCACCAATTACGAATTCGTGACGCACCCTTGACGCACCAATGATGGATTCATGACGCACCAATGACGCACTTATATCACAACCTTGATGCGCCCTTGACGCACCCTTGACACTCATGACACAAACGTAATATATCAGTAATGCACTCGTGACGCACCCTTGACGCACCTTGACGCACACGTAATGCACCAGTGATGCACTCGTGACGCACCCTCGACGCACTCGCGACGCACTTCAGCTGTGATCAATTTTCCTCGAATTTTTCATTAGCGTCAATTTGGAGTTCAATTATAATTTGCACAGTCAACGCACAATACCAAATTGGCATAACATTTCAACTTCCCCCGTCTGTTTTAATATTGCGGCCGCGATTAGTTAGTTCGGCGCACCTGACAAATCATAGCGCAAGGGGTTAACCGGTGCACCTGCTACAATTTCTACGATTTTGCTGGGCAATATTTTATGTATCAGGAACATCGACGATTAAGATGTCGAAAAGTGCGATGTCTGGTTTCTCGAAGTGTGAACAATTTTTTGGGAGGACAATTTGGAGAGACGTATAGCTAGCTGTGTACTTTGAGTACAGCATTTTGTCTCAAATTTAAATTTTCGTGAAGAAGAAATTGAGAAAATAGAGAGCCGCGCAAAAATGCGACGTAAGATTTTTACTCGGAATAAGTCATTCCCTCGCAATTATTTCGACCGATGAATTTTCCCTTAAAAAGGTTGATCTCGGTTTCGCGTTTTCTTTGGTACTCGTTGTTACGCGTAATTGTCGCGGCACAATTACATCCGAGCGGATTAGATTCCTTTGCCGGAGCGAAGCGGTAAATTACGCGGTTAAACGGAAACTCGTTTGCAGCGGCGTTCTGAGACGGTGTCTGATCGGTGGACACTACTAATAGCCTTAATTAACTTTTCCGTGTAAACAGTCGTTCTTTCTCCGCTGAATCCATTATTCCCAGAAGAAGCTATCCAAATACTGTGTACGGTCTTCGAGTATACTCTGCAAGCTTCAATGTACCCTGCAAGCTTCGAATGTATCCTTCAAGCTTCAAATGTACCCTGCAAGTTTCAAATGTGCCCCGCATCGAGCAAACTTAAAAAAGTAACAGTGATCAGAGGATTACACTAGTTCTCAAAAATCAACCCTTTGTTAACCTTGTTAATATTTTGAAAAGATTGAAGGTCTCTATTATCCCCGTCACACTATTTATACGTGACATGGGTAGATTTAAAGCATACCTAACAGCGTTGAAGCGAGCAGTGAGTCACCTTTCTAACTCGAAGTAATCGCGGTCACCTTTTATTCTCGAAATATGCTCGATGAGTAGAAAGGAGAACGGAGAAAAGGCACGCGGGTAACGTGATCATGAATTGCAGACGGCAAGGAATGCGACGCTTTGGTGTGCTACCACGAGAAGGATTCCAATCTGGTCATCGGTATAGTGATACCGACCCTAGAATCGAGGCATCGTTACAAGTGCACGTCGCTGGAGCTCTCTCAGCTGAATCAAAACTGTAAGTCCAAAATTTAACGACCTTAAAATAATCGATTAAACGAGTAATCGTCGAGGGTTATTCGATGAGTGGAAAGAAAAGCAAAACGAGCGCAATTATTACCGGGAATATGGGCGAAAGTTAGCAACCATCTAGTTTCGCATCCAATCCGCATCTCATGAATATCAACGCTGATAACGGCTGCCCGCAAAATATTCAGACGCTAATTTCCTTCTAATTGGCGGGACAAAATTGGCCCGTGTAGAGATTTTATTCATGTAAATTGCGGGAGAGTCTTTGTCATCAGTACAGTATTCTCTTCGTAAATGTTAAAACTTCGGGTCTCCATTGTAACATTTATGGAATAGGTACTACATTCTTTGTAGCGAGCCGAACATAGAAAAAGACAAAGAGGGACTGAGGTTCGGCAAACGTGAAAGACTCGTGCGTGTTCTGTCTTTTAAATTCAAAAATCAAAATTCTTTATTTTTGCTTTTCGTGAATGAAGCTTTGATTATCGTATTCGTCCCGTTTTTGTGATTAAAATGCTACCAAACACGGTATAATTAAAATCATAGTTACTTGTATAGCAAGCCGTTAGGAGGAATTCTCTGCCGTAAATGTAAAGTTTGCCGTAAGTGTGAAAGCCCGAAACTTTTATGGCTTGCTACATAAGTAATTACGATCGTGATCATATCGCGTTTGGTGTCATTTTAATCAGAAAAACGAGACAAAGATGGTAAAAGTTCCATTGACGAAAAAGCAAAAATAAAGAATTTTGATTTTTGAATTTAAAAGACAGAACACGCACGAGTCTTTCACGTTTGCCTCAGTCCCTCTTTGTCTTTTGTGTTGCTGTCTTTTTCTATGTCCGTCTCATTACGAAGAATGTAGTACCTATTCCCTAAATGTTACA